GCTAGCATCTGAATAAAAATTTCACTGCACCTTGTTCCAATAAAGCTGTTGCATTCACAACTTTTTTGTCTGTGCCTTTCAAATGTAAAGGTGCACTAATTTAGTCAGACTTGATTCAGTGCACTAGAATTATATAATAAATGACACAGCTGGTAAATAGACATTAATCCAACTGTAAAAACTTGTATGCTGTTGGTAAAGGTGGTAAAATTGGCCACTAAATCATAAGGTACTTCTGAGATGTCTGGAATCTAGTGTCTTGTGGCTGAGCTGTATCAGCTACTGGTTAGTAGAGTCAGACTAACCTTTAAAGGTTGCTATTGTGCTTGTGGCCCCTTTTGTGCTAGATAATGTGCACAGATATATAGGCACAGTACCTGCTTTGAAGAACCTTAATTTGAAACAAGCAAGGATGCATGGGGCTGTAAAGTTATGTGGTGGTTCTCAGGTTTGATAGTCATTTCCAGTATTCCAATGTGTAAATCAGATTAAACAAATCTGCCCTGTGAAGAATAAATAAAAACAGCTTGTCCATAAAAAAAAAAGTACAACCCAGTTAAAATTGGGCAAGGTGGTCTCACCAGACCCCTACAGCATGCTGGGAAGGAATCCATTTTAATAGCTGCAATGAGTTGGCCATATGTCAAGTAAGCATTAAAGTTAGTTTATTAGAGCAGTGTTTTTCAATCTGTGGGTAATGACATGTAAGGCACTGGGTCGCCGTGTTCTGGTCACCATCGATGACTGTCCGCTTCAAATGGGGCTGACAGCTGGAGCCCTCCCTCCACCCCAGAGCTGACAGCCAGGTGCTGGGTTCACAGCTGTGAGACCTGCCCGGGTGTTGACAGCCCAAGTTGTCAGCCAGGCATGGGGCTGACAGCTTTGGGGGGGGGGGGGCAGCTGTGAGCCCTGCACCTACAGCTGAGGCTGTCAGCCCCAGGACTGCCAGCTGTCAGTGTCCTAGAATGCCCCACTTTAGTCTGTGGAAGTGCTCCTGATGAAGATGTGCACCACTGACAGAAGAAGCAAGTATGGACATGATCCCCTGCTTTAATTACTGTGGTGGCTGTATGTCGACTTAATTTTGTAGTGTCCACAAGCCCCAAGTCTCACATCCTGGATTTAGCCAAAGGTGATGGTGATGTTGTCTGAGCCCCCCTTTCTGGCCTCATAGGGTTAGGCCATTGTTAAAGATCAGGATGATGAAGGCCCTGGGGTGTCATGGTGGGTTCCAGGTGACGAGTGGCAGCTATCCCAGTAAAGCTTGCAGCTTTTGGCCCCCCTGGCTCCTTTGGCCATAAAGAGGCTGCAGCTTCATCCCATGAACATTAATCTATCGAAACACTTTTCAGTGATTTCATCAGTAAACATTTCCTCCCATTTCTAGAATCTTTCAGCTCATTGTCATCTCAACATGTGGTTTCACTAGGAGCCTTGAAAAAGATCAATTATCATAGTTATTTAACTTAATCTGGTTTGAACCAGTCTGTTTGCCTTCACCTTTTGCTGACTTTCATAAACAATTTTATAGAACAGTCTGAACTGGACTTTTGTTAGGTTGGCCGATTTAGAATACAGGGCGCTACATAAATAGATCCAATTCCATGGTCCTTATTAGGTAAAACTCCAGCTGGAACCAACCAATAGTTGTTTTGCCTCAGTATAGACCTCAAAATTGAGCCCGTAATTATTACACAGTTGATTTTTGGTCATCCTCATCCCATCTGTGTCTCCCTTCTCTATCTTCCCTCACTCCACTGATTCCCGATCCTGGTCTCTCCCTGGGCTTCTCATCTAAATTCAGTCTCCCCACTCCCTGGTTCCTTGTTCCAGAACACTCTACTGAGCATGTGCAAACACATTTTTCAAATGCTTATTACTTGGCAAAATTTGGGTGGATTTCCCAAGGACAGCAAAAGGCACATCTCTGACACAAAGGCCATCCCCATCATATATCAGCTTCCTGCTCCAAACCATAGGCGTGCTAGAGCTTCTCAAAGAAAGAGTCACTAACATTTTTTTTGTAAAAAATATATTCCAAAACAATATATTTTTTCCTGACTTTGTTCTTGGAAACGGCTAAACTCTTTTGACTGTAATTATATATAAAATCCTGCTGCAGACACCTAGTGTGGAAAATTTCAACCTAAATGCTCAAAGTTGGGCAAACTTATAAGCAACTGAAAACAGGGCCTCTCTAATGGGAAGTGTCAGGCAACCTTAACAACAGGGAGTGCTATCAGCTGGATTTAAAATTTATCTAAGAACAGTTTAAACCTTGTTCACCCCAATGTTAACAGAGAATAAATATATTAAAGTAGAGATGGGCCTAAGTAGGAACATTTGGGTCAGAACTTCCAATGTGCAGTTTGGTCCTTTATAGGCAGATACTCAGGGCCAGCTGAGGCATTTTGACATATGGGACTACCTCTCGCCTACTAGAACAATATGTGCTCATGCTGCACACGCATCATTTCCCCACCCTTGTGTCCCGCCTAGATATCAAATGGTGGGACCTTTTACCAGCAGCAGAGTGTAGGGAACCCCAGTGGGCCAGCTTATATTCCATCTCTGTCCCACGGCCTGCCGGGGATATCGGATGGCGGCTCCAACATGGAGCCGTGAGTACAGGCGTGTACTTGGCACAGTTCATCTCTGTCCCTGAAGCCTGTCCCTTCTGTGGTGTGAGGGAGACCCTGGCACATGTGTACCTTCAGTGCACCAGGCTGCAGCCCCTTTTCTGGCTCCTCCTGAACCTCTTATTGAGGTTCTGGCTGCACTTTTCCCTGCACTTGTTTATTTACACACACCTGATCCCAGGCCCCATGAAGTTGCGGGACCACCTCGTCAACCTCCTCCTGGCCATTTGTAACACCAGGGAGAGGAGGTTGGCAGAGGGGAGGCCCTGCGACTGTGGGGCTGTCTTTCACTCTTTTATCTGCTCACGTATCCGGGCAGAGTTCCTCTGGGCAGCGTCCGCTGGCTCTCTCAATGCCTTTGAGGAGCAATGGGCGCTGCCTGGGGTTCTCTGCTTGGTTTTCCCTTCTGGTTCCCTGGTTTTGGCCCTTTGACCCCCACACCTGTTCCTGTTATTGCCTTTGTTGTCCCCCAAACTTGGTTGGGTTCTGGGTTCAGTAGCTCCTCTCTAGGCTGGGGAAGGGGCTTTTAGCAGTGGGTGAGCTAGTGCCTGTCCACGTCCCAGCGCTCAAAAGGACTAGAACAGCATGGGAAATACACTCAGCAACTGTGTTTGCTGACTTCAGGCCAGGCTCCAAGGCCTATTTACATAGGTTATTTGCTGAGTGTATGTTAAAGTGGGTACTGTATTTTCCTGGATTTGAAGGCTCATTGAGTTCCTTATTGTGTCAAACCAGTTGCTGCAGTGTGTTAATGTATTTTTAAATATTGTACATGCAATCCTGCAGATACCGTGCACCTTACACATTGAGAAATACAACATAATACCAAAAAGCTTCACTTGGAACCCCTGATGTGGGTTTTTGGATAAGGACCTGTCCCCTTGGCTAATTTTGCATCTTTGCCTCATGCTGAGTGTGGGACTAGCAGCTGTGGTAGACCTCCATCCTGCCAACGCTTATGAATGTGCCTAGTTAAGTAGTTCAGAAGTTTGCAGTACATAATGGAAAAAGTTGCATGCTTACTGTTAAGCATGTGTGTTTGCACGATTGAGGGCCTTCATGCTGTCCTTACCTTTGCTTGCTTTTTGTCACCTTATTAAGACCCCTGATTTTAAATATAAGGCCTGGTACTAGTGATGTTATGATTTAAAAAAAAACAATTACATGAATGTCAGTGCTGCAGCAAGCGTGGGCTTGACAGCTGTGAGACCAAAAGCCTTTCTTTGTTCACCGACACAACCTAGGACACTGAAAGGACAGCGTTAGTGCAAGCCCATCAATTCTGCCTTGCCAGCGGGCCTCAGCTATGGTGCTGGCAGCACCACTTCTGGCATAGGAACTTAGTTTGCCTCCAGGGTCTATTTGCTTCCTGGCCTCTCTACTGAGACGGAGTGCCAGTTAGTGCCAAATGACAAGGAAGTTGTGTGACCTGGACACCTGCCTGTAACGAAGCAGGACTTGCTCAAAGGGAGAAAAATTACAAGAATTCCCAGTACCTTATCCAAGACTTCACAGATTCTCATGGGTCTGTTGGAGTGGATGGCTGGGAAAAAAACAACCCAGAATCGTATTTGTCCTGGGGGTTGGGAGGGGCAGGATTAGAGAAAAGCACCTCAGGATCTTGAGGGAGGAGGCGGGGAGAGACTGGAGAAAAACTCCCCAGGATCCTGGGGAGACGGTGGGGGATAGGGTTGCCAACCCTCCATGATTACCCTGGAGTGTCCAGGAATTAAAGATTAATCTTTAATTAAAGACTGTC